ACTGACGCACCTGCGTTTCGTTCTCCAGCACCTCAGGCCACTGCCGGATGGCTGCAATTTTATCTTCTGCTGGTTTAATCCCCGCAGCGGAAATGGTATAACCCAAATACGTAATCGTTTGCCTTGCAAACTTGCATTTGCGGAATTTTGGGTAGAACTGATGTTGAAGAAAAATGCTGAGAACTTGTCGCAAGAGAGAAACGTGCCCCGAGAGATCAGGGCTATAGATGAGGACATCATCTAGATACGCAATAACGCCTTGTCCCAGTAACGGTTGCAGGTAGGCATTAATATTGGCCTGGAACGTAGCAGGAGCACCCTTAAGGCCGAAGGGCATCACTCTGTACTCAAATAGTCCAAGAACTGACCGGAAAGCTGTCTTCCACCGGTCTTCCTTAGCCATGCGTATTTGATGGAAGCCTGCTTCTAGGTCTAGGGTGGAAAAGTACTGGGCGCCTCCCAGCATCTCGAGAATGGTTTGGATGGGAGGTAAGGGAAATTCAGGGGCTGTCGTAAGGGCATTTAGGGCCTGATAGTTTACAACCATACGCATTTTGCGCTCCCCGGAGCCATCATCGTGCTTGTCCACCATGATTGTAGGCGAGCAAATAGGCGAGTAGGTCGTTCCGATCCAACCATTGTCCGACAACTTTGCTATCTCCTGTTTGTGGAATGTGAGCTGATCTGGGGTCATACGGTATATTGCAGATTTCGCCGGAAGTTTTCCAGGCACAAGTAGAATATGGTGATCATGAGGGCGTTTCGGCGGTAATCCCTTAGGTAAGTTATCGGGAAATACCGCTCGGTACTCATGCAACACTTGTGCTATCTCCCGTGGAATATCTTGCGCCTCTGTCGAATGTATCCATGCGTCGAACAGAGTGTGCTCGAGTTGTGCCTGAGGCCAGGGGGACTCCTCGTCACTCTCCGTTTCCCCCGAAACGGTTATGGCCGAAGGAGTATGCCAACTGGAGGACGCGGGGTGAGTCCCGATTAGCGCGCAGCAAAGCGCGCCTTGCCACTCATCTGAGAGCCTTAGGGGCATTGCCGGACCGGCTTCGGGTAAAGCCAGTATGAGGTGCAAACCGTGCATAGGAGCCTTTAGATCCTTTGTGTCCGCAGCCGCTTGACGAACGAGCGACGTTATCCGCGCCTTCGCCTTCTTCTTCGCGTGGGGTTTATAC